TGACTAGGGAAAATTGTATACAAATTCGGATTCTAAGTTGGTACATTCAACTCTTGGTTGTTCTGGTTTCGAATTTCGATGAGTTGAGAGAGACAATGGATTTATTTTGGACAATTAAAAGAAGCAATATATAACATAAACAACAACATAATGTACATTCAAGATTAAGTCAAAAAAGGGTTATCGACCAAAGTCCTTCCGCCCCATCTCAATAATTAAAATTTTATCAGCCACATATTGTTATCCTGTCACAATCCTTTTGTAAATAGTGTCGAATTCTGATTGTATAAATAGGGGTGACATTTCTTCAGCCATCTTGCTCTTAGATTTGTTTACTAAAATTAGAAGTCGCTCCGTCAAAGCCTTTATTTCGGTTTTTCTTGTTCTGGTGTCTCATTTTCGTTACTGCTCGGAGACTTGTCCTTTCGCCAACGTTCAAACTCCTTAGTGGGCATCGCTTGCTATCATAGGTCAATAGGCTTGCATACTCTAAAATTGGTCTACAAATTGTGTTTTTGAAGCGTTTATGTTAATTCTCCAGGAAGAGCACCATTTAGTTATTTTGTTAGTTGCTTCTTGTAATGTTACTATGGCTGTTTCAAGTTTCTTCCTATGCGCTATTAGTGCAGTGTCGTTGGCATATTGCAGCATATATAAATTGGTAGACAGCGCGGAGATTTTCATCATGTCATATGCAAAAGCATTATATAGTATTGGTGAGAGCGGCGAACCTTGTGGTACGCCTTGTTGAATTTGGAATTCATCCGAGAAGGTTTCATTTGTTTAATTTGTAAATCAGACCATTATGCCACACTCCGTCAAACGCTTTTTGTATGTCTAGAAAAAGAGCTGCTGATTTTATTTGCTGCAAGCGACAAGTATGTAGATTTGAAGTAAGAATAGTTAGTGGATGTATAGTCGATTTCCCTGTTATAAATCCAAACTGATTATGTGGAATCTTGTCTTCAACATACATTAGCAGTCGTTTTTTAATAAGATTTTCAAACATTTTCCCGATGACAGGAAGCAACGTTATAGGACCATAACCAGAAGGCGTTTGTAGGTTCGAGTCTTTTTTTGGGATGCATACTACTGTCCCAGTTTTCCCTTCATTAGGAAAGTATTGATTTTGGAAACGAAAGTTGAATATGTCTTATACATGTGCATGAATGTTAGGATGTAATTGTCTAAAAATTGTTCGTGTCAGCTTACCATAGCCGGCCGGAGTATTTTTTCCTTTGCTTAACAATTCCCAGTATTCATCTTCGTCGACATTCAATCTGTTACTAGAAATTTGTGCAGTGTTATGAAACGCTATAAACTAGTCTTCAATCTGACCATGATGGTCGTTATCGAATAAGTGATTTTCCGATTTTTTAAAACATTCTTCGAGATATTAATCAGTGTTACAGCTGTAGCCATCAGATGGATCTATAAGATAAACGGACTGGATGTTTTTTTTTTGTATTTTGATAGTTTTTTTTGACTTCATTCCAGAAAGATTTTCCCTTACTTTGGTTGATATTATTACAAGCTTCCATCAATCTGGAAGATCTGAATTGCCATATTAACTTGTGGATACTTTTACTAAGCTCATTAATTCTCTTCTTGGTGTCAGCATCTTCATTTCTTCTGAACTATCGGTACATGCATCTTTTACGATTAATTAACGTTAGGATATAAGGAGGGAGTGGGAAGGAGTAATAGGACTTTTTCCTTTTTGGGGAATGATTTTTGGTGTTTGATAAACGATGATATGTTCTCTGGGTTAATAGCAGGATTGTTATGGATGTAATTTGTCATGTCATTGTTTAGGTTTTCGATATTGCATAAATTAATATTAATGTGTAGTGGAATGTCTACTATTGGGGAGTATGGTGGGGTCTTTAGTTGAAAATCTATGCTGAGGTGGTCTGAAAATGAGAGGATATATGCTTGGTGAGCCTATTACTAAATCAGACGTGATGTTGGTACTGGCCTGCATGATAAATGTAGGTGGTGTAGCTATTTTCTTGTATCCAGTCGGATTGAGGAAGTTTGTTAGATGTTTGTTTTTCGACTTATTTATATTAAAATCTCCGATTATTATGGTGTTATCCTATAATGAAGCTTTTATAAATATAGTATCATCTATTCCATTGTGTGGGTGAATATATACCAGGAAACTGTGTAGTTTTTCTTTCCCAAATGGTAATGAAAAGTGTGTGCATTCGTTTAATAAATAACAGATATTTATTCTTGGGCTATTTTTATGTTTGACTGCTAGAGATGGGCGAATTAGCGCTACAGAGCCTCCTCTGATATTAACATTGCCGAAATTTGATATGTTCTTTGGATTTTGTTTCTACAAATAAACCACACTGTATAGGATGAGTATTTAAATAGTTACCTATTAAATAAGCTTTCCGATGGTAGCTATTGATGTTGGAGTATAGGAATCTGATATTATCCATTGGAAGGTTGTGGTATTGTTCCTTGTTTTCCATTGATTGGTTCCGTGGGTGAAATTGCGTTAGGGTTCTCCAAATCAAGCATAATAATATACAAGTAGCTTCCAAAGAATGAAAGAATTGTATCGACATAAATCTTCGTCTTAATTGGTTGATCAGCTCTTGTCTATTGTAATTGTTTTGCAAGTTGATTTTATTATTATAGGTTTCCACTATATGATCATGAATAGTAAGTGGTTGGTGTATTCTGGATTTATTTCTTACCGCGGGATCGATGTCTTAGCTTTTTTTATTTGAGCTGTTAATTTTTACGTTTGGAATTCCAGCGATTGGGGCTTTTGGCCAATTTTTGCATTTAAGAGACCACGCACTGTGGCCCTCCTGACCCTATGCAGAAAAGAGTTACATTTAGAGCGTGCAACTGGCATTGGAGCAGGAGTCAAACTTTCAACGACTGGAAAGTGCTTGGTTTTATAGAACAATCCTTCTTTTAGTATTCTTTGATATGACGATTCACATCCGGTAATTATTCTCATTTTATAAGTTGGACTTTGAGTTATTTTGGATATAATTCTCTTGCAGTATCTATGCTTAATTTGTAATGAAATTAGCAGTTCGCTTATTTCATTGTCTGCAATTTCGAGGTCAACAGTAGTAATTACTGCTGAATAGGATGCCACTGGTAGTTTTTTTTCGATGTTACTTGAATTTGATTCTTTAAAGCTTGAAATAATTTTTTGTTCTTGTAGTTTTAATAAAATTAATTTTAGTTAATTTTTAACGCATTTTGACTTTATGAGAAATCCAGTTTTTGGTTTTATTATTTCATCTCTGAGGTTAAAGTTGTTTATCGCCCAATACTCATATAACTTGATTCTCGATAGTTCGTTATCTGTGGTGACGTAAAAGATAGCATTGTGGTTCTTCTGGTTCGCGATCCGTTTATTGAACGCAGTTATTTTGGTTGACTTCGTTTGTTGATTTTGATGTAAATCATTTGTTGATTTAGCATTTGTTGTTGTTGGTATTTTAAATTGTTGTGAGAGATTTACCTTCACATTCGATTAGTGAGTTTGTTGATCTTTTTTTTTGTGGTTATTTCCTTGGTGACTTTTCACGTCTTCCTCTTGGTCTTCCTAATCGGAAGTAGTATAAGTGATTGGCTTTGCGATCATGCCGCTAGCTTTATGGTACACACGATAATTTAAGAATTTTCCTTTAATCACCGAACACTATGATGCACACGTACCGCCTCTCGAAAGGTTGCGACGATACTGTTGATGAGTTGAATGTTACAATCTGCTCAACCTTAATCAATGTTTTTCATTCGTTGTCCATTAAGCTTAAAAGCTGTTATTTCCACATATTCACCGCAGAGAAGGTCTTCATCAAAACTCTCCCTTGCCCCTACCATTCTACCATTTCACATACTGTGATAACAGCTTTAATGAATATATGGATATGATATCCTGTATTCTCCTGTATGGATATATATCCCACCAACATATCCTGGCGTAGAATCAGGATATGTTGCTTAAAGAAATGACTTGGAATCTACGGTCCAAAGACTACAAGTATTGATTGATTTATTCGATCAAAATAAAGTCTTGAAAAACAACGCAGAAATCGATAGCATTTTTATTGTAATTTGGTATTCTAATTTTTGCTAAGAAGAAGAAATATTTGTTGAAACTTTTCATTAAATTTGATACCGCAATTTTAGTAAAAAAATGACATCTTTTAGATTAAGTGAAATATTCAAATGAACTGAATTACATTTTATTGACAAAACATCAAAGATTGTTTATCAGAAATGAAACTTACAATTCAACCTAATCCTTTAATTATAAATTTAAACAATAATTAAAATCTCAAAAACGAATTGAGATATTCAAATAAAGATTTAAAGATACCTAATATTAGGAAGAATGCGATTTTCAGGCTATTTTATTACAATTATTTCACGATCCAATTCAAACTTTAATAAAAGGGTGTCTAAAATCACTATTTAATATAATAACCTTGCTTTATTTATACCTTATAAATTAGTAAACACATCAATGAATAAATTTATTCATACGGTGTTTAAAAAATTAATATTAAAAACATAACAGTTAAAAGATAAGAAAATTCTTCGAATTCTTAATTAAAATTTAAATTGTCCACAAATTTATATTTTTATATCATTGCCAGGTATTTTAACGGTTACAAATAAATAAAATAAAGAAGTAACCAACAAGAACTTGTTCTGCAGGTTCATAAAATGGCCTTGATAACATCTTCATGATAAAGCCTGGTTTCAGAGGGAATCCCAGCAGTGTTCCTCAAGACTTCAAAACCAACTAAGGATTCAGATTACAAGAAAGAAATGTATCTTGGCGTGATTTGTATAGTATCATTCTTAACGTCTACGTTAGCTCATCCAGGTCTTCTGGGGCTCGATTTAGGTAAATTTATTAAAAATATTTCATCAACCAAATTAATATTTTTTCATTATAAGGAGATATATTATCTCCATTAGTAGGACCAGTTACTAACGGTGGATATCCTGATCGACGCACAACTCAAGAACCAAATATACCAAAAGAATTATCCAGTCCAAAACCAACAACAGATCGTTCATGTATTCCACCAAAAACTAAACTGACCACAAACACATTTAAATACTGTAAAGGTGATTTAGTATTCTCAGATGACTTTGAGAAACCATTTAATAATCATCAATCTTGGGATATTGAACAATACATGCCGATTGAAGAAGGGCCAGATTTCGAATTTGTAAGTTATGAGAATGACGATCGAATCGTTTATAAAAAGAATGGAAGATTAATTTTTAATCCTACGCCAAGATTTAATGAATCTGAAGTTTTTGGAGAATTAGATTTAAGAAATGGGTAAAATTTGATGTAATAACAATTTTTATTTTTTTATATTACTAATTTTTATTATTATTTTCTAAGGTGTACCAGTATATTACCATCTGAATGTTATTTCAAGCGCATTTCCACACAACTAATTCCACCGGTCAGATCAGCAAAGATTACAAATAAATTTGGTTTTACTTATGGAAAAATTGAAGTAAAAGCTAAATTACCGCAAGGAGATTGGATTTATCCCCGTAATTGAACACAATAATTAATATTAAACTGACTACAATTATCCTTTTTTTAGAAATTCAGTTGGTATCAGACAATAAATACGCGCCTTTTAAAATTTTGGTCGCTTATTCTCGCGGAAATAATCATTATGTTAAAAATCGCGACGAGGGATCAAGCCTTTTATTCGGCGGAATTCTCTGGAACACCGAAAATTCAGATAGTAGGATGAAATTAACAGAAAGTAGACCGAGTTTAGAACCGTATGGAAATAAAACACATACATATACGGTCATTTGGGAACCGGATTCAATTACTTTATTATTTAATGGCGAAGAGTACGGGAGGATTCTTATCGACATTGATAACGATGAACGATTTTATCCGTTAAAAAGGACATTTCGTTTAAGTTTAGGTGTTGGCGTTGGTGGGATTCATGATTTTCCCGAAGGATATATATCAATTCCGAAAAAACCTTGGGTTAACGCCGATAGAAATCAATTGAAAAACTTTTTCGATGCCAGAACGGAATGGGCGAAAACTTGGAGTATGGGAAGATCTATTATGGAAGTTGATTCGGTAAAGATTTATGCTGTTTAAGTGTTTAACTTTAGTAAGCTTTGTAACTCGTATATATAAATATAATTTCTTCATTAATTTTATGAATTATTAATTATGAAAAATTATTTATGAGTAAATATAATTATTATTATGTTTAAATAACTTATTTTATTTTGGTTGGCAACATAGAATTATTAATATGCAAACTAGAATAAGCAGTAATATTATATAATTACTGCTTGATCGAAGGCAAATCAATAGAACGTTGTTTAGAAATATTAAGGAGAATGTTGATAGCTGATATGGCAGATGTTCAGGAAGGCAGTGATAATATTGTGGAATAATAGGGATGATAATTAGAATTAAGAACGATATTGATAGATGCTGGAAAAAATCTGAATTGACGGAGGCCAGATTTATGTTGAGAGAAGTTGGGATTATGTTAAGCACGATGTTGAGAGATGTTATTGGCAATACGAAGAAAGACCAGATATGATATTGAAAGATAAGAGTAATAGCATAGTGAATATATGGATGTAGCAAGTAAGATGTTAGTAGATGATTGGAAAAATATTAGGGAAGGCAGTAAAATGATATTGGGTAATAATAGGGACGATTTTAATAAATGAAAAACGATTGGAGTTAATACATGATGAAAAGTTATTTAGGGACACCAGCACATTGTTGACAGATGTTAGGATTTATATTGAGGGATGTTAGAAAAACCTAGGTATAGTTTGAAGTTGAGTAATATCAGGAATTTTATACCATAACTTTTTATAATAGAGAATTTCATACAGGAGTAGAGTGAACGTGTAACAGTAGTTGTGCTGTGCTTTTATCACTGCATCAATCCGAAAGGTTTTATCCTTTTCATTGCCTAAGAGCTCAATTGCCTCGATATTGCCACGTTGACGAAGTCCTTCTTCGTGGTTCTTAGCAAATTTAATAATAAAATGTTGAATTTCCAAATCATTATGGAGATCATAGTACATTAGGGAGACTTAAGCACAATTCTCAGTATTTTGTTCTGTAAGTGATACATTATATTTATATTTGACTAAGCAGTGCAATGCTGTTTTTGGGAGCCATCATAGTAGCTTGTTATGCAGAAATAGAGACATTTCTTATCGCGTATATCCAGTTTTTATCCTTTCTTTTTTACATGAGCCTTCCATTGGAATCTAGTATCAAGCGTAAAATTATTTATAAATACTTCATATTTTTGTTAGTAAAATACAATGTGAGTTGTCTTCAATTCGCTAAGTTCTACTCTTAATTTTTTTCTTAATGCTGGAAATTTATTGCATTTCCTAGTTAATTAATAAGCATTTTATTGTTTTTAATATTTACAATTTTTATCCCCTTAATACATTCTAATATATATTATTAGTATATTATTTTCACTCTCTACCCTCTTCCTCCATTTCCATACCCTCGGCTCCTCGGCCCAATCATCCCCTCATCCTTCCCTTTGTCTCCTTACCCCCACAACCATTCTCATCCATCGTTTCCCCTCTCCCCCTCTCCTAAGATCTGCCCTCGGTCCAACTCCTCCTCCCTCAACTCACTGCACCCATTCAACATATGTTCCAACGTTTCCGTGACACCACCTCTCCTCATCGGCCATCCAGTATCTGTTAGCTCTCTCCTCGTTTCCACAACGGAACCTAGCCACCAACTTCTTCCCTTCCTCATCTCCTTCCAATAACAAATATCTAGGCAGCCCCTCCGTTATTATGTCCCTGTACCTTTCGTTATACCTCCCCTCTTTTATTTGTGTCCTTCTTTCCTGTCTCTGCACATCTCGGTCCCTATCTCTCAACTCCCTCCACATCTCCCTACCCACCCTTCGTCTACTATTTATTTCAGTTACCGAGTAGCCCGCTCGTCTATAATAGTTGTCTCTGTCTCCTTTCCGATATCTGATCTTTCCCTCTCTAATTTCCCTCCAACACTCCCCCAAGATACCGCAGTTTGGCCTCCCTTCTATTCTTTCTTCATATTTCACTGCTCTCCTGCCCGCCTCCACTCTGACCTTATCCACCTTTACCTCTTCCCTCACTATATACCCCGGTGTGCATTTCCTAGTTTACTTGCCGTTTCATGATTATCCTTTACTAATAGTTAGGATTGAACCCCGATAGATCACAGATATAAAACGGGAATAATATAGGGTCCAGAATTATGTATCATTTTATCCTGATTTCTGTAAGATTATATTATAATAGACATAATAGACAATGTTTTTGTTTATCCTAAAGTACCTTTCTGACATCACATAAGACAGCAGAATTACTGATAATTTCATTGAAAATAACTGTTGTAGGAAAACTCCATTACAACCCTTTTTCTCTTCCAATGCTCTTTCGATTATACTTATTATTCTTTCTACCTGACCCACAAGTAAATGACCTAATAATCTGGGATTAGATTCTTCCTTTCTATGATAGGTTGCATGATATTGTGTTGACCTGACATTGAGAATATTATTATTTTTGCAACTTTCCACACTTTGGGTGCATATTACAGTCTAAATGATGAGTTTATTAAATCAGTCAACTTTATGTCGCTTTAACAGTTGTATGCAGATTTCAACGGTGTAGGTAAGTAAAAAGTGGCCATTTTGACTTGGCAGAACATATTCTGTCGCTTAAGACACAAAATTTTCGGAAAAATTAGCCTGACACCTACTGACATAAAGAAACAAAACCTTGGAGCAATACAAAGGTTCATCAAGGACCTAGATTTACCCTTAAATGAGGACGGAAGTTTGCAATCTCATAGATTGCAGTGACGAGAGGGGCCGCTTCCCTCAGCCCGGCAGCATAATAATAATCACAAAAGTTCTATAGATGAAAAGCCACATCAAAACTATCTGAAGACTGAGACAGTTGGTATAAGTAGCGTTCAGTCGAATCTGCCGGCATATTTAACAATTTATGACATCAAGTGCACCGCTAAGTTTACAGGTTTTGGAGAAATTAAAGCTCATCATGAGATAAGTCTTGACTTGACACTTCAAGTCAAGACTTGGGCGAGCGTTGTTTGAGTGCAGAATCACAAAATAATAATGAGTGGTTAAATCGGCTAATTTGGAATTTCACCCCGAAACATTCACATTGTAAAATGATAACAATTGAAAGCGCAACTTTTTGGCTACTATAATCTTTAATAACAGATTTATACTAATTTTGAAGATTATAGATGTGGGGGGAAGTAAAAATTGTCCAACAAGTAGTTTCACAAAAAGTGTTATTTGTTTTAATTTTCTTACTCCAATGTTATCTAAGATCTGAATCGCCACGATACTGGCTTTTTCATTCCTCTTAACAAATGTAACAGTAAAATACTGCATAGTGCATAGTGCATTTTTGCGTCTGTGTAATGCGTAGCTGTATACCATATTGTTGTGTTGCAATGTCTCGTGTTGTTGTGAGCACTTTTCGTCATGGCATCCAACAAGGAAGATGGGACATGAAAAGACCTCTTATAGATCAAGAGCATTTCGAGGCTCTTATGAATGATTCAGATTTTTCTCACTACGATGTATATTTCAAGTTTTTATGCATTTTAAGATCGCGTTTACACGTTTTTTTATAATTTAAGAATGTTTTAACATAAATTCATCACCTTTATATTGTATTGGTATTAAATATAAGTAAATGTTAAGAATTTAATTTTGAAATACAAGATTTACTTCACGCCATTTGGTCCTACATTCCCAGCTAGGATAACCCACCCGATTTCGCCTCCTCCTTCATAAGGAATCTTTATGGTGGTCTGGATCAGAATGGTTGGCACGGCCGTGTTTCAGTTGGCCTGTTGTGCAATCAGCTGTATCGCCTCAGGTTGATGGGGAGCAACGTTCAGAACCTAAAACTCATCCTCCTAACAATTCCGGGTTGGGACTTAAATTACAAGTTTTCCTCGCTTAAGAAGCTGCTTCTGCTCACTGCCAGGTGTTTTCGTTTCATTAGAAACTCTCAAAAACTTTATGTTTTAGACATTCTTACCATCAACGACAAACTTAACTCTGCTTTGTTGTTTTGGGTCTTGCAGTGTCAATAGAATCATTTTGTGGAAGAGATTGTGTATTTTCGGAAGGGAACAACATTGCTAAATGATTCTCATCATCAAAGAACTCTCCACGGAGTAACTCGGCTAACGATGTCCTCTTTAAAAGGACGGTGTTGGATTGTTGGAGGAAGAGTATACATCATCTGTACTAAACATCGACTCTAAGCCAGCCAGGAGTTAATGGGGCAACTACCACCTGCTCGAGTTACTTCATCGAGGCCTTTTCTACATTTCAGCTCAAAACTGTTAGAGGCAGAGGAGGTGAAACATACAAGGGCTACCTTATTGTATTTGTTTGCTTAGTTTTTGGTGATAAATGGGAAGCTGAAATAGTTCTAGCCTGCTTACCCACCAGAAATTTCAACCATTCTTGTTCTAAACTCCCAGCTTTTCATTGTCATCTCAGATGATCCAACTGACTTCGATGTTTTAATGCCAGATTACTTCCTGATTGATTCGGCTCTCAATATGATGGTACCTGAGCCATCTATTATCAACGAAAACATACTATTTATTATTATTACGTAGTATTATTAGTATTATTTATTTATTTATTAGTATTATTAACATTATTTATTATTATGTTTAAAGTGGTTTGAACAGTAGTTGTCCAGACTTCGGTAAGAACTTTTAAATTTTATGTTTGTATTCGGTTAGAGGCATTATTAGTTTTCAATTATTGGACATTTTTATTTCCGAAGAACTATTCTAACAATAACACGTTTATTTTAAGACATATTACGTATTATTAACGAATAAAGCAGAATCAACACAATCCTTCCCTGATTTGGGAACCCATTTAATAATCCTCCAAATGCTGATTGTGCAGATGATGCATGATAATATATTACAGTGGTAATAAAAATTTAGTAAGAAAACTTTAAGTTTTTGTATTACTTGAGATTCTATTATGATTTAGACAGCGAACACTTTCACATATTCTACTTGAAGATCTACTTCGTTATCAATCCAAGAATTGATCCAATCATTTTTGTGGTCTAAAAATTCTTTCAGTTGTTTAACCGCATCGTTTTTCCAAGGTTTCATGAAATTTCCTGATTTTGAATCGTCCGGGAAATCAAAATTACCTCCAACACCAACTCCAAGTGATATTCGATACTGTAATAAAATAAATTTAAGGAAATAAAGAATAAAAAGGAATATTAAATATTTACATTTCCTTCATTTACTGTTTGGTAAGTTGTGCTGTAAACATCGTTGTTAACAGCTAAAGTAATTTTGTCTGAAATTTATAAAAGTAAATCAAAATTTTTGGAAATTATAAAAGTAAAATAAGAACCTGGGGTCCATGTTAATGTAAAAATATTCATTTTATTTCTTAAATTCTCGCTGAGATTTATATTCTTTAATATATTAATATCTCTCATTTCCTCGCTGGATTTCAAATAACCACCAAATAAAATGCTGGAACCAATTTCCTTTCCTTCTTTAGTAACCAAATTTTTATTACCTCTTGAATATCCAATGAGAAATTTAGGATATTTTTTTGTTAAATCATCAGGAATTAATTCAATCTCTAAAAATAATACAAAACAATTAATTAATACACATTTTAATAAAGAAATATTTTATTACGCGGAAATATCCAATCTCCTCTCGGCAATTTCGCCTTAATCTCAACTTTTCCGTATTTAAAAGAAAAATTTGAAACGATTTTTCCAGATGTAATTGGTGGCAAATAATTTGCGCCGAGTTGTTTATAAAAGCAAGCTTGAGAAACGCTTCGAGTACATTTTTGGGTTAAATCCAATGTGCCAAGAATTCTAGAACTGGGTACAATAGTTGGTTTTAAATGTAAATTGGAATTTGAAATGAAAACACATTCAGGATTGTCTTGATAAGATACAAACTCGAAATTCTATAATTAACAAAATTAAAACAATTTATTTATTGATACCCTTATTTTCTACCTCTTCACTGTAAACAGGAATGTAATGCTCAACCGTCCAAAGAGTTTTCTTTAAAATTCCATTCGAAAAATCATCTTCAAAAATTGCGTTTTCCTCATCACAATTTATTTTTGCAGTTAATTGATTCGCAAGAGTAGATTCACAAAGAGATTCTAAAACTACATTTTCAAAAATTAATATAAATAAGATAATTTATGATTTTTTTTAGTTTACCTGTAATTGTAACTGATTGATTATCTACATAATTATATCGTTGAGCACCGAAATTAAATCCAAATTTAAAATTGCCACTCCCACCGAACGCTTTGGTAGGATCAAAATGATTGCTAATTATTTCTATTGTATAATTAACGAAATCGTTGATTTTTACTTTTTTATTTGGATCGAAATACGTCCAATCAAAAAGTAAATTTTCCATTTTTGGTGTGTGTACGATTCCATTATTAATTTGATAACTAAATTTAACTAATTCTAGAACATCGTTTCTTTCTAAAAATTGAAAAAAAAAATTATTAAAGTAAATCATTTCAAATAAAATATCTTACTTTTAATGTTTACTTGAAATCCTTTCGGTTTAAAAGCACGAAAACTAATATCTGGAAACAAAGACTTTCCAAATAAAGACGATGGTAGACCACCAAATTGAAGTTGACACAACACAATTGGAATAAAATTTCCTAATAAAATCAAATTAATTACACATGTATGAATTAATTGCATTTTTTTATTCGTGTGCAATTTATTTAAATTATTAAGATGTTGTATCTGCGATCGTTTTGACCTCACTGATGTGTATGGGTCAACGTTATCCCGATGATATCCAAAGGTTTTTGTATTCGGGACTGTACAAGAAGGTGGGGATTTCCAACAGAAAGCGGTTTGTGTAAAAAATCTTAATTGAATAATTTAAATTAATATAAATTTTGAAATAGCTTTATATTTTAACGAATCTTAATTATTTCGATAATTAAAGAAAATGATTTGATCCAAATCGACCAGTGTCTTTATATAATGTAAAATGAAAACGAAAACTTCAATACTTTTACTAGTCATCATCTGTTAATACGTCTTACATGTTACGGCTTAAAAGGAAAAAAATGGAAAGTGGATGGAAATATCATCAAGCAAAAGAAAGAGAGCTAAACAGTTCATCTCTCCATCAATCAAACAGAGAGATTAAACTTTCTGTAAGTACAAGTTAGATGACAGATTTTAATAACAACTGTGAAACTGCATAGGTAGATGAAACGGTAGCAAAATTATTTCCCCCAGGAGCTAAGATACAACCAAGATTTTTAATACAACCGAATTTCCTAATTTTATTAAAATGGTACGTGCAAGTGGTGGAGAAAGATTTAAAGATCTATCTTTCAAAGCTTTCTTTTTCTGGTATTCCAATACAGCAAAAGCAGGATTCATTCTGTAAATACGACCATGCGAAGCAATACAAGTTTTTGGTTCGATTGTTTAGAAGAGGTTAGCAAAATGTGTATACTGTGCAACAGAATTCATATGTACTTACATAAAATACATATATGCATAACACATTCTTTACAATAATATATTTTATGTTTGCTAATTATGGAAACAAAACATTTTGCAGCAATAGTTCCACGAAAGTTTTATGGACGGAACTATCGTCAATTAGATACTATTTTAGAAGGTTTTCCACATCTAGTATTCCAGATCAAGTACATATTGGTATTTGACCCACAAACGAATTTCAAACGCACGAAAATATATTTCCTACTAACGTTACTGGTGAAATTGAGTTGCGCTATATAAAAAGTAGTGATAAAGAAGGAAGTAACAATAAAGCATAAAAATAAATAAATAAAGCATAAAAAACATAAATTAGGCTTAAAGAAGACAAAACACTTCGTTGATAAAAGTATGATAGCAACGTTGGTTTTCGTTGTTCGTCTAGCAACTATAAAGAATGAACTGGAAAATTGTATCTCTGTTGAAAAATATGAAAAAGTAGTTCGAAATTTTTGATTTGACCACTTAATGCATTAAGATTTTGTAGCGATTTTACTTTCAAGAGGCTGTCATAAACTACCCTGTGAACGTAATTATAGGAATCTTGACGAAGATCTTAGGATACATGTTATTGCAAAAACTATGTCACGGAAAATATTTCAGGAAATCAAAAAGTATATTCATTTAGCAGACAATTAAATGCTCAAGACAAAATGATATACCACTAAATCTTCTAAATATAAAAGAACGACCTGCCAAAAGCAGTGTGTTTGCTTTTTCATTGGAATATGTTCTGGTTTTCTATGTATTGAAAAGAATGTGCTTATGTATGATTATATCTTGGACACAAGAAAAGAACTCAAACCTGAGTTGATTATATTTTCTAATCTAACAAAAGGGGCAATTGATATCGATGAAATGAAAGCTTCATATTTATTCTAAATATTGGTGGTGTGAATGGTTATATAATTCACAAAGCAAATAACTTCGGACGTATCAAATCATCTTTGGTGTAACGTGTCAAAATCTCTCTATCAATTTGCAAACATCAATAGCAAAAATAGCCTGAAATTCTAGATGAAAATCGCAGGCAAGAAATAGTAAATTTTGCAACATATGTTTTTGCAGAAAGAATAGAAAAATAAAGAAGAGTTGCAGTTCTCATACGTAACCAATTTGTCCAGAATATTCCACTCAGATTTCTCCTAATTGCTTATGTGCATTTGAGAGAAATAAAATCGTTATGATAGGATTGCGTTCTGTTTTGATTTTATTGTTTGTAGTTTAGGTTTTTGTACTTTGTTGTAGATATAGTAAGCAAATATTGAGTTTTGCTTTTTGAACCTGTCACAGTTACCAAAAATATAAATCTATAATAATGTAATCTATAAAGCAACGTCTACTATAAATTGAATTAATAATTAATAAAATATTAACTTTTCCTGCTATGTGAAAGGAAGTCTTATATGCGACCAACATTGTGCCTTTAAACGTAGCCACCACAGCCGGTTAAATAATATATCCTTCTTTAACATTAACTTTAACACTACCGATTCCAACGTCAGTAGAGAAGAGAGACAACTGCAAGCATTCGAGGATGAGTTTAAAAATTCTAATAGTCAGTATACTTTGATTATCCTAGTGAATTTATTAATTAGTGTTAATTTATTAATTAGTGTTAATTTATTAATTAGTGTTAATTAGTGATTTGCTATATGTTTTCCAACTTACATAATGATTCATTAACCATAGAATACTAAAAAATCCTAATTTTCTTTGCTCGATATTTTATTGATGACGTCGCTTAATCAGGCTCCACGTCGAAGTATCTTCCAAATTAGTCTAGTCTCTGTGTACATCGTTGTGGCTACTTACTTTCCCAACATTTAGCAAGATCGTTATAAAATTTACTTGTGATTAGTGTTCAGGTAAATTTTCCAACAAAACAGATCTGCGATTGCTCTTCAAAGTATAGTCTCCGATATTTCTGGTGGTTTTTATGACTTAATTGCAGTCATATAACGAACAAAGATGGGGTTGTATACAGGTAGATTACGAACCCCAAACTCTGGCGTGAGTTGTTCAGGTCCACATTAACGAAAATTTCAATAACATAATATTTAAAAACTTAAATATCATTACTTTGTGTGAAAATACAACAATTTATTTAAGTCTATCTAAAAAGTACATTTGCTTAAATAATTTGTGATTATTATTATAAAATTTATTATCTTTTCACACTAATTCTAAGATAATTATAAAAAACATGTTTTAATTTTTATATTATAAATTAATACTTGCTTTTTTTTGTAAAATCATTTAAGTATAAGTAAATTTATATTCTTTACTACATTTCTGTTTTATTTTGTTGAATTTAAAATAAAATAAAAAAGAAGTGCGTCCCTGGACTTAGTTCCCTAGGATAACCTATCATAAATCATGTCCAGGTACTTTTTCCGGGTGATAATTACTGCCACTACTGTTTCTGAGGGTCATAAAAACCACATACATGATGGATGGTTGTCCCTACTTAGGCAAACAGAAAATAACCAAGGGGCACCATAGTTAAATAATTATCTACAATTGTCCAAATTTGTTCACGTTAGTAACAGAAACATAACGATGAACAATTGGTTTACGTTTGTTGGAATACCTGATAAAAATACTTTCAACAATGCATTTCGGAACTGTGATTTTGGCAAAAAAACAACAAACCAGGAATAATTTTAAATTACAATGAGACTACGGCTAAAGTAGACTAGTTTGGCCAAATTTGTTCAAATATGTCATGTAGTAGAAAAACCAACAAATGATTACTCAGCATTCTTTATGCACCATTATCAACAAACATGGAAAATCTAGACGATATTATAAATTTATGATCGAGCTAAGCCGCCAACTTGCTGGACCATGAATAGAACAAAGGATGGGAAATCAAAATTTATGACTAAATTAGATTAAATGGTGTACAGAGTGTTCTAAGAATAACTAGTTCTTGTATCTTAACAAGTAAAATCTCTTTTTTATATTGTTAGGAGAAGATAATGTTCCTGCATATGCTTGATTAGGTTTTTCTTCTATAATTTGACTTAAGATATGTCTTAAAACTGTCTTCAAATGTTTCAAAAACTAAAAGTTGTTTTTCAAAACGTGTTGGTTCATTGGAAAGAGGACACTCTTATTACCACTTTAGGAAATTTTCATATTCATACTCCAAGAAGTGGATTTTATACGAATTTTTAAAGCTTAATCGGAGAAAATTGCAAAATTCGACAAATTTTTCGAATAATTCAAAAATTTATTTCTCAAAAACTAAAAGCGATTTTACAAAACGGCTTGTTGCATTAAAAAGAGGGTACTTTAATTAATAATTGGTGATTTTTCCACAAGGATCCTTCAAGAAATTAATTTTATAGCGAATTTTGAAAATTATCGATGAAAATTACAACATCGAAAATTTTATCAAAACTTCAAATATTATTTTCTCAAAAACAAAAAAATATTTTTCAAAACGGGTTGTTTCATTGGAAAGAGGACACTTTTATTAACACTTTAGGAAATTTTCATACTCATACTCCAAGAAGTGGATTTTATACGAATTTTTAAAACTCAATCGGCGAAAATTGCAAAATTCGAAAAAATTGTCGATCAATTCAAAAATTTATTTCTCAAGAACTGAAAGTGATTTTTCAAAACGGCTTTTTGCATTAAGAAGAGGGATTGTTCCAATGAGGTTGCTAAAGACAAACCTGATATAAATAAAGTTGTATTCAATCCTATTGGGGTTGAACTTGATTATTATCTGCAGTGTCCAACACCTAAAAGAGATTCTAATTCTTGTGAATGGTGGAATATTAAGTAATAGGTTTTTAATATCCGGCCAAAGCCGGATATTTGGTAACTATCCGGTATCCGGCCGGTTTTAAAAAATGGCCGGATAGGCCGGATATCCGTTCCACCACTAATTTTCGTCATCAACGTCTTGACTTTAGGACTAGTTTAGAATCTCTTGGAAAATATACATTTATTGAACTAACATTATTTATTTTGTTTACTAAATTATTGCCGAAAAAGATTTAAAAACTATTCAAAATAAATTTGAACATAAATAAGTTGGGTATGTTAAATGATTAAAAATGTTTTTAATCCTTAAAAGTAACAATCTTAATTTCTTTATCTTTCAAATAAATGAAATTTTAATAAACTCCATCCAAAAATTAGAAATAAAAATCATTAACGGCATAATCAAACAAATAATTAAAATAAAAACAAAAATTGCTTTAAGTTATCATTGTTGTTATGTTTAGAAGGTTAATTTTGGGGTCATCAATAAGTTTACTACACTCAAAATACATACATAGCAAGGTCGAAGTCGACGACGAGAACATTAACATTCAGATACAAGGCAGAACGAACTTGGTAGCAGACAGTAGTAGTAAAAGTGTTGTTCTCGGTGAAAATGAGTTGGTTAAGATTCGGTTTGGTTTTACAATTAATAATATGCCCGGTTTTTTGTCAATTTGTTTTTCCTGATGTAATTATTCAAGCATACAATCCAAAAGGGTTAAGGATATATGTTGAAGGTAAGGTCCAAGTAAAATTATACGAAAATATAGATGAGAACAAGAAAGTTTATAAACACGTTCTTAAGAACTCGTATTTCTAGAAGCTGAACAATCTTTTTTTTATCCACTCGGTAAATTGGGAATCCCGGTGATTCGTTTAAGGTTTTTTTATTTCTTTTTTGTTTAGTTTAATTAATTTGCAATGAAATAAGAAAAATTAGTGTTAAAATACTGCAGATGTATTAATAATGTTAAGATGTAATAAATGTGTCTTTTTCTTTTTAATTTTGGATAAAATCGTTTTCTAACCTTTATAAATAAATTCACAATAATTTTATTTTAGAGTTTTTAAATGTTTTAAATCCAAGGTCTTTTTTTAATATTTTTCGTTTAGATGTGCCATTTACCTCATTAAATTGTTATTAACACTTTGATTGTAACACATTATCTTTAAAAAGAGATTTGTGTTTAATTTCTTAGAAAAATCATTTATTCATTTTTATAAATAAGTACAAAATACTTTTTTTTAATATTTCGAACTTTACAAGAGGAATGATTCAAACTGGAAATTATTTTAAAACGATGTGTTATTGTTATAAGCAGTATCATTAATACTTATGTTGATATTTGTGCTATTATTGCTATTGTTGAATGCTATTTGTCTATCGTAGCTTCTTAATATAACATCGTTCTTTGATATATTAAAGTTTTTCCTGTTTGGTATAAAAATGAGTAATAATATATAAAAATTTCTTAATAGTTTTATAATACTTAGTTTTATTATTAAAATTCTTTATTAAAACTTCATAACGTGCGCTACCACTAAATTTTAATTTAAAAATTATAGTTAACTTTTCTAATTGTTCTACTTTTCCTACCTTGCGATAAATAGTCATTCTTTCAATTTTTAATCCAATTACAAGTTCGTTTGTTGTAGCACTAATTCCACCTCTAATTATCTCCGCTCTTTGCTTCACATAATAGTTTTCATTCACATTCACTTCAACACAATACATATCGATTTTTTCTGTGGATGTCAACTCTTTATTCTCTCCTTTATTCAAATTGGGTTTTAAAATTGTTGAGCACCTTCTGAATCGTTATATAATAATGCTCATAATTATGCATTTCTGTTTAATAGTGGTTTATTTTCAACGCTCCAATTACAGTATGTGTTATACGACACTTTTCGATCGATGTTCGTCGTCATACAGAATGTTCTAATATTACGATTTGTTTACCTTTATTAAAAAAAATAAGACAATCTTTTTAATAATCTAAATTAAGTAAATAGCCAATTTTCAAATAACCTTTCTTCTTCTATACATTCATCACCCTTATTCCCATCCAAACTCTTCATAACATTGGGCTTGTCTTGTGTATTTCCATGAGCAGAACAAACTTCTTCTAAAATCGCTTTTTCCAAATCCTTTTCCTCTCTTTAATAGAGTACTTCAAAACTGTACATTTGTTCTGATTTAACATAAACATGTTTATCGCTTGATTTAACCTTTTTGATGTAAATATGCCTTTACTGGCTTATCTCTTGTAGTTTATTAAATGTGTCTAACAAAGACTTCAGGTTATATGCCAATCAATACTCAATTGACTGAATTTCGAGCTGATCTGAATCACATCTTCAACCATCAGCAAAAAGGAGAATTTTGTTAATATTTTGATCAAAATACAGATGTAATCTAAGAAGGCTGATTATATTTTATTGGATCCTTGGCTACTTGTACCGCCGTCTTCGAACAAAACCAATAAACATTACATTTAATGCTAACTATACAAAACTTTCAACATAAAATTTGCAAGGGGTAATATACCTCCTGAATAGAAGCTTTAAACAAACTGTAGAGTTGTTGGGGATCGAAACAAAACTTGCTGTATTTTCTCCTTCGTTCTCCTTCATTAATTTATAGAACTGTTTTGCCATTAACTGATGAACAGTTAAATCAAGAGTTTAAAATTTCCTTAAATTTTTAATCCCTATAAAATTTGTTCCCTAGCAAATACTACAACAGTGATCACAACCTAATGTTGGGGAAAAGAAGAAGTATAATCCAGCTAGGAAGAAGAACAAGCGCAAATACAGTAAACTAAATATAGAATAACTGGATTTTAACCAACAAGAATTTGCGAAAAGTATGCAAAAAAAAGTATGTAAAAAACGTAGTTGCGGAAAAACGAATATCCTATGTATAAAATAGATCAGACGCAATAACATGCAAAGAATACAAAGAAACAGAACACTCGCAAACATCCAATCAATCAAGAAAAGCTACCGGAAAAAGATTAAGGAAGATTTGAAGAGACAGTTAAACGAAAATCTGAAATTTATTGAAAAACAGAAAGAAACCAGTAAAAGAATTCATACAGACCACAAAGATAAAGCAGGAAGATTGGAAACAATACTTCAAAAAGCCGTATGGCAGAACACGTGAAAAACACAGAACCTCCTCAAGCAGACGTGGAGACTAACGTCCAACCACGATTCACCTTCTCCAAAAAAAACTAAAACAAGCAATCGAGAAGTTGATAAACAGAATGTCACCAGAGATGGATGAAATAACAAACGAGCTCATTAAATGTGGCGGGCACGCACTGGTAAATGAAATATACACCCTGTTTAACATAATTATCAAAAGTAAAAGAATACCATCTCAATGGAAATGCAGAATACTGATGCAAATCTTCAAGAAGGGTGAAAACACAAAAACAAGCAATTATAGAGGAATTAGCCTCTTGAGTTGTATCAAAAAATTGATGTCTAGAATGCTATCACAAGAAAAATCTGCATTTAGGATCTGTAAACAACAACTGGGATTCAGAAAAAAGTAACTCAACTGATACAAATCTTCAAAAAGGGTGAAAAGACATATTCAAGCAATTGTACGGGAATTAGCCTCTTGAGCTGTATCAAAAAATTGATGTCCAGAATGCTATCACAAGAAAAATTAGCATTTAGGATCTATAAATAATAACAGGAATTCAGAAAAAACAACTCAACTGATAGAAATCTTCAAGAAGAGCGAAAAGACATACTCAAGCAATTATAGGGGAATTAGCCTCTTAAGTTGTATCAAAAAATTGGTGTTCAGAATGCTATCAGAAGAAAAATTAGCGTTTGAGATCTGTAAACAATAACAGGGATGCAAAAAAAAACAATTCAACTATAGATCCAATCTTCGTTATCCGACGAATAACTGAGAATGCCATAGAGATCGACAAGACAACTTTGATGCGTTTTGTAGAGCTTTTATTTTCAAGGTGATTGAAATAATACAACGTACACGTTTTAACTTGCATTAAAGCCACTATAGCAAAACAATAGCAGAAAACTACCGTTCGATTCTGGACCAAATAAGAGAAAAAAGTATTTGTACTTGAACCAATTGGGGCAAAAAATAGCGAAACGTCGGGTAATGTAATGTCACCAGTACTAAGTATAAACAGCGATACCGAAAATGGAGAATTGGAATGAATGCAGCCAGAGGTACAATAATAAACACCAAATAATCCTATTTGACATCCAGTACAGGTAAAAGAGAATCTACAAAGACTTATAAGGAGTCACTATTAGACATACTAAGTGAAAAGAGGACGGAGGAAGTAGATGGAGATACATATATTTTTCTATCGGTACTTCCGATGTTTACGAAATTTGACGAAGACCAGAAACTTATTATTATGACAGAAATTAAGAATGTAATGACTCTCTATTCCGCCTGCAGCTAGTGTACCAACTTCAACCACCCACCTCTTTTGCTAGTTAATCAACTCAAGATCCATTACCGTTTGTAGGAGAATGCCAGAACAGAGATTGCCGAAAAACGCCAGAGAGAGAAAACCACATGAGACCAGACCTTCTGGAGGTCCCTCGAAAAGGTGGTGTGAAAGTTGTAATTTAGTATCCCAGTCGAGATTCTGAACTGTTGAAGAAAGACCCCGACTTTCGAGTTCTATTATAAGAACAAGAAGAAGGATTTTGATTCTTGGGCGCCCAATTGCATCTTTCTCCTTTATTATAACATCAATTCGATTAATAATATCATAACAAACTGCAAGTAGTAATCTCGTTGATGGTAGACTACAACTATATGAGTGATTAATTTGCTTAATGAATAAACTTAAGTTAGAATATCTTAGTTTTAAACATTTTCATAAAAATTCAACATTATTTCAATTTTATATTTTCTATTTTTCCAGCTAGACCAGATATAAAATTATTTGTATTCGAAGGAAAAATTAATGAAAAAATTGAAGGAACTGCTCCTGGTGATATTTCAGTGGACATAAAGACACCAACAGATGGAAAATTCAGTTATTACGATGGCGATTTACAATTAAATGTTGGAGATACGATTTATTATTGGGTTTATGTCCAATCAGATAAAGCCGGTTTTACTAGATTAGACCGATCTTGGAAAGTTACAAGTAATTATTTTTACATCATATATTTCCATTTTTTTATATATTCTTTTTAGGTTTATTAAATCCACAACAAGATTGTATGGATACCCGAACTGTAGTTGCCGGATCCGGAAAACCAATATGTCAAGGAAATATAATTTTTGAAGACGACTTTTCAAACGGAGTCATTGATAGTTCCTTATGGAGTGTTGAGCAATACATTCCATTATATACCGAAGATAATTATGAATTTGTTTCTTATCAAGATATTAATCAATGCAGATTTGTTAGGGATTCTAAATTATTTTTAAAACCGATTATAGTTGGCGAAAATGACATTTTAGGAACTTTAGATTTAACGAAAGGCTGTACAAGATCCAATAAACATGCTTGTTTTCACCAACAAATCGGATCCAATATTATTCCTCCGATTAAATCCGGAAAAATCGTTTCAAAACTTGCTTTCAAATATGGAAAGGTTGAAATAAGAGCTAAAGTTCCGGTTGGTGATTGGATTTATCCTCGTAAGTTGAATTTGATTATAAAAGATATTGTACTCAAAAAATTTTAATTTTTAGAAATCGAATTAGTTCCTGATGATCCTTCAAAACAATACCCGAAATTCTTGATAGCTTATACAAGAGGAAACGAAAGATTAACATTAGTCAACGGATTCGATCTTGGTTCAACATTACTTTTTGGGGGATACGCAAATTCGTCGCAAGAACCCGAAAGAAGCACAAGTTTACCATCTATTAGGGTTACAAGTCCAATTGGATCGGATATGAACGTTTTTACTTTAATTTGGTCACCCAATCAAATCGAGTTGTTATTAAACGGTGAAGTTTACGGAACCATTCCCAAATCATTTAATTTAGACAATGTATGTACGAATTAAAAGAAAGAATTTTTGAATAATTATGTTTTTTTTTAGTATCGAATTTCACTGGGAGTTGGTGTTGGTGGTAATGTTGATTTTCCCGATGGGGTTTTATCGGGAAGTTTTCGAAAACCATGGAGAAATAATGTTATTAAACAGGCAAAAGCCTTTTTCGATGAAAAAAGTACGTGGGCTAGCACGTGGAAAGGTGACGACGTCGCTCTTCAAGTAGATTACGTTAAAGTTTATGCAATATAAGAAGTTTTAAATTATCTTTGCTGAAAGGAAAGCAGTAATTAAAGAATATGTACTTCACTAAAAATTCTTCAAAATAATACCTGTTTCGACTAGAATGTTATGTAATTTTTTTAATAAAACAAAAAGTTTCTTTATTTATATACATATTTATTTTTTATCAAATAATCGATTTAAAGGAAAATATAAAACTCATAGAGCGTAAACGCGTACATAATCGATTTGCAAAGCAACATCATTTTCAATCCAAGTAGAAAACCATTCATCTTTTGCATTCAAAAACTTTTTTGCTTGTTTGGAGTCGTTATTTAACCAAGGTTTCTTCTTATTTCCGGATTTTACTTCGTTGGGAAAATCGAAATTTCCCCCGACTCCTACACCGAAAGCTATTCGATACTGAAATAAAAAAAATAATTAATTTTATAATTAATATTTTAAATAATTAATTTTACATCGCTTAATTCTTTATGTGCAATTTTAATGCGACCATAAACTTCATTGTCGTACGCAAAAAGTAACATATCCGGGGTCCAAACAACCGAATATTTTTTTATTTCTTTATTTGGTTCGGATAATACTTTACTTTTTAACCCAGCGCTTCTTTCTGGTTCTTTATAATCAGATACGAAGCCTCCATAAAGTATGTTATTTCCGATATCGTCGCCATTTTTTAATGTTAATTGTGGGTTTCCTCTTGAATAAGCGATAACAATTTTTGGATATTTACGCGAAACGTGATTTGGAACTAATTCTACTTCTGTAAAGTAAAAAAAAATTGTAATGTAAATTTTGGTCATGTTTTTGTTGTGTTACGTGGATAAATCCAATCTCCAACTGGTAATTTTGCTCCTATTTCGATTCTTCCGTATTTAAATGCAAATTTTGAAAATATTTTGGTTGATTTTATCGGTGGGTTGATGTAAGGTCCAATTGGTTGATGATAACAAGATTCAGGTAATGATTTTGTACATCTACAAAAAGAATTAAATTTAGAATAATATCACAGAATTATTATAAAATATTAATATTCAAACTAGACCGTTAAAAATACTAGATAAATGCAAGAACACGTGTTACCGGATGAACACTTGTTCGTGAATTGTATTTCTTTTCATTGAATTCACAAACAAGTACATGAACACATTGTAAGGTGACGCTTGCAATTTCCGCTCATAGGTTTTAGTTGACTGTTAAGAAATGTTTTAAATAGTTGACACAGTTTCTGGCGAAAAAAAAATTTATTTAATGAAAACATTGCAAGTTTGCAATCCAAATCCAATAGTATAGCAGACGAAGTCTGTTAATAAAAAGTGTTACATTAGATAATATTAAATTTGGAGTTCAACAACGCCTTGAGGAACGTAACAAAGAGAAGAGTACGAAAACCGAAATTTATTCTAATTTTACTGTAAGTATTTTTCTTATTACATAACTACTAGTATATGTGGTTATTACCAGAGGGTGAGAAATAGTGATAAGTGATAAACAGTTCAAATCTTATATACATAGTAGCTTAGATGAATCATAAACTCAAATATCACAAATCACATTTCTAAGAAATCTTAACACCATTACCCTTTATTTATGTTCCTATAAAACCCTAAAGACAGTTAAATCCTAGGTTCCACGCGTAAATCTTTGAATATACCAATTTGGGTTGGTTAAAACGTTGCGCAAACTTTAAACCAATATTAAATGTATTCGATATACATTTACATTATACATACGATATACAAAATTTTTCCAAAATTTGTAAATTCTATTACAGTAGAACTTTGTTCTATGTGGATTACTATCAAAATTGCCTATGGAAAATCTCGGTATAACCAATCATATGAATCAGTGGACTAACCGAGATACTAAGTCATGATGACCACTTGGATGAAACCTATCAGGGGAGTCACTGGTCTGAAACTCTCAGATTTATTAAGCAATGAGAAACAGAGCTTACCAGGAATGTTCACCATATGATGCAGTATTTGGCCCTAGCTAGTTCAAGCTTACAACCCAATATACTCAAGGGTTTGGAAAAAGAAGATATGGAGCGCGTATCATCAAACAATAATGTGTCAGAAATTGAAATCTCCAGCTCGCAGTTAACAGCCGTTAATAGCCGATAATGTTGGATCTTGTGTACATTCTCAGCTTTTTTCATCGCCGTCAACATGTATGTTTACCGCCGCCTTAGAAGAAAATAGTTTCTATGCATTACAGCATCCCCAATTATTACTGCGTGCCTATAAAGTGTTTCTGAAAGGCGAAGATGGAAGCAGTTCATGATGGCGTTGTAAATAGCAAAACTAATACTGGGATGTGTAAAGGTGGTATTATCATAACGTTGAGTACATAAATTAAGTATGATAACAAGACAATCAAATATGATCAGGATAAAAATATGAGAAAAAGCAAATATTCAAACAAAATGGAAATGTTAACTAATTAACGAGTACATACAAGTAATTATATCAGTAAACAGAAGAAATATCGAGAACAGAAGACATACACGAAGAAACAGCCGAAGAGATCGAAAAAAACACAAGTAAAGACCGGAAATTGAAAACGCGGAAAACCTAAGGGTTAGATAACATTACAATTGAGATAGTCATATGCGGAGCTAATCTACTGTTTGTTCAATTGTACATTGTTTACAACAACTGTCAAAGTGTGACGATCTTCATAATTAAGAAAGGAAAAAGCTGATCCTAGCAATTATCGAGGAATAAATCTTTTAAGTTCAGTACTAAAACTAATGGTAAAGATAACAGTGGATGTCCAACAAAATAGGTCAGCAATAGACGCTATGAGCTACTCCATCAGAGATCACAAAAAAATCATTGAATTCGATAAATCAGCTTTTATGTGTTTCATAGAACTCACGCAAGCTTTCGACAAGTTGAAACTAACTGATGTATTAGAAATATTAAAGAACAGAAACGCAGACTGATACATTCTAGCAATTATCAAAGAATTGAACAGCAACAACACAACTTACATTGAAATGGCTAACAAAAGGACAGACAAACAAAATCCCAATACTGTTGAGTATAAGGCAGAGGTAACGTCATCACGAAGAACTCAAGAATGTCAAGAGCGTTGGTGATGGGTGTAGAATGAGAAGTAAACAAATCAATATAATCTGTTACGCTGACAATGCCGTCTTAATATCCGAAGACACAATTTACAGAAGTTATTATATGATTTCGAAACAAGTCCAAAAATATTCAACATGACCATTTTAACTCAAAAAATTCAATACAGTGAAATAAGTTTCAAAGAGTTTCAGCAAAACCAGCAATTATATCAGGGTATCTACGTGACATAGTACGACGAAACAAATATATGAGCATCAAAAGTGAGGTCAGAGTGACACAAAACATGCATACATGTTATCGTCGGAATTTACCCAGGACGGTCGGGGGCGCTCTTTGTTCGGGAGTGACTAAGAATTCCTTTTTGTATAACTCTCCGGTTTACTTACGATAAAATTTACCTGAAGTGAGTCAGTTGTTCACTGTATTTTGTATAAGGCAGACGAATATAGTTTTTGGCAAAAGCTAAAAGTTGTTTTCTTTAGTAACGTTACCTCAACGCTAACATACATACGTAAAAACGCACCAAAAGACATCAAAAACACCTGAGGCATTGAGGATATTGTTAGATGGGCCAGAAAGCGAAGAAGGAATTTAAGAAGCGAAGAATTTAAATTTTATAACTTTCATATACAATGGTTTTCGTTGTATCAAAGCTGCACATCAACAACTGGACTACTACCAATCCGGATTTGGATAAATGCATTGTACTTATTTTGATCAACTTTTTGCTACTACCAGTTTATGATATCAAAAGTTTCACCAAAGAAGAACTAATGGTAACGAATGTGTGACTGTTGGAACTGGCGTTATTTTGTAGAACAGTGCAGTAAACATTGTTTTGAGTTAGAAAATCCAAAACTAGGCATACAAGGAAAATATATATGGCCACAACTGATTTGTTGGAAAGTATACATCAAAAGTTCGAAGAAAAATATAATACTTTCAGGGAAATACTGTTCTGGGATTATCAATGTGCAAATTAAATACATATTTTATTTTCCAAGAAGGAAAAGAAAATTTTGCTGGAATATTTCCGAAATTTTGGCATGAAAGTGCAGCATGGAAATGAAACCCTATCATAACACCTAAACTCTCTACAAATAAGAAAATGTATTGCTTCAACATTTTTTGGTGTAGATGGTGAAAATGTTTATTGTGTTTAGATCTGATTGAAAAACTCAAATCATTCAATATTTGTACATAGTACATCTTTTCCTAAAGTAGACTTTTGAAATTTTCTGTTGTAGATTAGCATCAAGAAATGTTTACTTACCCTTGTCTTAAATCTAAAATGTTGTCCATTTCTTCTGGAGCACGTACAGTTGGTTTTATGAATAATCTTGAATTTGAAATAAATTTACAATCGTTTGAATCTTGATAAGAAACAAATTCATAATTCTAAAAACTCAAAAAATAATATTTGTTCATTTTAAGTAATTTAAAAAAAAATACATCTTCAGTATATTGTGGAATGTATTGTTCAATATTCCAAACGCTCGAATTTAAATTTTCATTAACAAAATCATCCTCAAACAATAAATCACTACCACAATGTTTCTTTTCTAATCCAGGGGTTAAGGTTTGTGTTTCTAAACATTCTCCATTTAAAGGAGTATAATCTAAAAGTTAACACAAAAAAATTGAATTCATGAAAATGAATTCTTTTTTTTTAACTCTTACATAAAATAGTTGATACAGCATTTTGAGAATACTCAGTTTTATCCTTTTTCCAAACAGTAACTTCAAAGCTAATTTCATCGCCTATATTTAATTTTAAATTTCTATTATGAGATGACCACCGTCCATTTGAATCCAATTTAGTTGCCCAAATAATTATAGATCTTCCATTATTCAATCGACCGAGAAATCGAAACTCTTTAACATCTTCAAGATCTAGAACAAAGGAACTAAATCCCCGTTTTTATTGATTCTTTCTTAAATATACCATTTCCTTCTATATAAGTTGTAAATCCTTTCGGTTTATGAGCTAATATAACGGGTTCAAAGGTAAACTCACTTAACGTCACAGAAATTAACAACAATACAATAAAAAACCTTAACATTTTCGACATTCATATCAGACTGTTTTCAAAAGTAGAGGATCTCTTGTATATATTTAACCTTGTAGTGGGGATTTTAAACTGTGAGAATTAAGTAAGCAAAAAATTGGGATTATCAGTATAACGTAGATAATTCTTGGAATCTTGGTGATATAAGAATTCCCCTTTTTGAATCTCTTCATTTTTTAGGCATGGTTAAAAAAAATTTATTAGTCATCTATGTCTATAATTTATATATTATTCAAATAAATTGTAAATTTTTTTATGTCTTTATTATTTATTGTTAAATAATAAATAAAATTATAAATATATAGGCCACCCAAATAACACTTCTCTCATATCGAATTCATACAATATATGTCGATAAAACAGTGCATCATTCATAAACACAAAATTTTAAATTACTTATTCATATTTATCTATAATTATATTTTCAAATAATCAATTTTAAATTCTATTTCATTTTATATAAGAATTTTTTGATATTAAAACTTAAAAATTAAATTTGTTTACTGTTTGTTGACACTAACCTAGGTTAACTTGTCAACTGTCAGTTACTTGTCAAAACTTTTATGACGAAAATAAATTTTTTGCTATGCGGTTAACAAATACATTAAAAGAAATGTGTTAAATGAATAATTTCCTCACTTAACATTGTAGTGGGGAGTATCCCTACGTTTTAGGAGTTTTTTTATTGAATTTCCGTAAATATCAAGGATAAAATGTCTGATAACACGGAACAACTCTCCACTATAGGAGATAACACAGGTAGACAGAGTTTATTGTTATATTCAAAAGTATTATCTGCATATCGGATTGGATAAGTACGTAGTGGGGAAACATTATCTACCTATTCAAGTGATAATTTATCAATTAAATTTAACCAATTTTTGTTTACAAAATTCAGTCATTTGGTGCGAACAAGCAGATTAATCAAAATTGCACAATTTTTCGTAAAAATCTATTTTTTTTTTTAGAAATCGTTTTGAGCAGTCAAGATTCTGATGTAGATTCTACACACAGCATTTGTTCAGGATCAGACACACACAGTGGACACACATCTTTGTCCAATGCTGAACGGGTATCGTTAGTAGGTCCGTTGCTTAGTCCCACTTTGCAGGTTAATTCCATTGTAGATGCTAGTAATAATGCTTTGTTAGCAACTTCAGTGTCACCAGGTAATTTGTATATTCTTTGCTGTTGTGCCACTTTTAAGTTCATTTTTATCCTTTAAAAATGTAATTATGTTTATTTTGAAATAATTTGTGTTGTTATAGAACCTGATATTAAAAATGGGACAGTTTCTGTTTCGTTAAATAGTACTAATAAAGGAAGTTTATTACCTTGGGGTGCCCACAAAGAACGATCTCCTCATCCTAGTGCTGGACCACTTATAGACATGGATATTCGACCGGGTGAATTTGTAATGCGAAGCTTATTTGCTGACTTTACCATTCAAGCTGAGAAAAAAATTGAAGCTGTTATGGGAGAACCACAAGTAAGTTTTTATTAAAAAAGTTTTTGTCTTAATTTTGATATGAAATAAATTATTTTTAAACAGGAAAAGTTGTTGTCTAAACTTCTACAAAGAGGTGAAGATACAAATTTTGATCAACTATTAAGTGCTTTTGGTTCTGTTGCTGAGCACTGTCTCCCTTCATTATTAAAAGCTTTGTTTTCTTGGTATGAAAGACAAATGTCTTATGAAGTTGCTAGTTCTGAACAGAAGAAAGCTGATCCAAAAGGAAAAAGGTAAAAAAATATGAACAATATCAAGTTTGGAATTAAAATAATGTTTTTATTTTATTACTATAGTATTATAAATATTGTTTCTGGAAGTACATCAGAAACAATAGAGAGAAGTGAGGCTGATATTCAACAAGAAAGACGAGATTTAGCTGTTGAATTTATATTTTGTTTAGTTCTTATTGAAGTGTTAAAGCAATTATCTTTTCATCCCGGACATGAAAATTTAGTGCAGTACATAGAAAATTTGGCGTTTAAACATTTTAAATATAGAGATGGGTAAATATTTAGATTGTTGTATTAATTTGATTTAATTTGTTGATTATTTTAGAATACAATCTGGACCAAACGCAGGAAACATTCATATCATAGCTGATTTATACGCTGAAGTTATTGGTGCATTAGCACAATCACGTTTTATGTCTGTCAGAACACGTTTTATGCAAGAACTAAAAGAATTAAGAGGAAAAGATCCGAGTCCTCACACAACCCAAAGTATAATCAGTTTATTAATGGGGATGAAATTCTTTAGAGTAAAAATGGTTCCTATTGAAGAATTTGAAGCCTCATTTCAATTTATGCAAGAATGCGCCCAATATTTTTTAGAAGTAAAAGATAAAGATATCAAACATGCTTTGGCAGGATTATTCGTTGAAATTTTAGTACCTGTTTCAGCTGCAAGTTTTATTTATTTTTTTATTTAAAGCATTTTGATTGAAATTAATTCTTTTTTAGACCGTTAAAAACGAAGTGAACGTGCCTTGTTTAAAGAATTTCGTTGAAATGTTGTATTCACAAACTTTAGATGCCAGCACTAAATCTAAACATCGATTAGCATTTTTTCCTTTAATTACTTGTTTGTTGTGTGTTAGTCAAAAACAATTTTTTTTACAAAATTGGCATTGTTTCCTTGCTATGTGTTTATCACATTTAAAAAGCAGGGATCCAAAAATGTGTAGAGTTGCAGTTGGTAAGTAAAAAAAATAATTATATTAAAATATATCCTTTTAATTCTTTAACGCATTTTTAAGTACCAAAACAGGCAATCTCTTGGTACATTAATGTGCTGCAAATCAGTCTCTTCGTTGTAGGCATTGTAGGCATCTGGCCAAAGCCGGATATTTGGCTTTGGCCAGATATTAAAAACCTATTACTTAGTACTCTACCATTCATAGGAATTAGTATCTCTTTTAGGTGTTGGACACTGCAGATAATAATCAAGTTCAACCCCAATAGGACTTTTTTCATTGAATACAACTTTATTTATATCAGGTTTGTCAATAGCAACTAAGCTCTCTAACACATAGCCT